GAGTCACTCAAACTTATCACAGCATTAATCATTATTTATTCATTTTATTTTAACTAATTTCCCGGTCCTATCCCCAATTTCTTCACCCGCCCCACTTTTCCTCGTCTCACTAGACTGAGTCCACCACCTCGGCGGCTTTTCACTTATCTTCCCTTGACCGGGGTAAAGATAAACACATAGTCTCTTTGATCTTACCCGCCGGATGTCTGACGCAGCAGTTGACACCACCTTAGGTGGAATGCAAGCCAATCTTTCTTCCCCCCCCCCCACCTCTCTCTTTGATCAAAGAGATTACTCGGGTCAACACGCCTCGTGACACTCCAAGGTGCGAATCTTGTCGGATTTCACCCACGTGTAAGATATTTCCTGTTTCCGCCCGTCTCTCCCAGGCCTTTATAAAGTAGATTATATCAAGCCAGACTCTCTTATATTTCTCATTCTAAGCTGAGCAATCGAGTCTGGACTACTTCATTCTTAGAGGTGGACTCAGTCAAGTACAATTTCTTTCCCTTATTCAAGGTACCAAAGAAAATAATTTATTACCAATAGTTAATGAACTATTGTTTTTGTATTGATTCGGTGTTGTGGGGTAAAATAAATAATTGCAAAATTTCAGCTTAATCAGAGATTGGGTGTGGGAGAAATAACGTGTACATACTTTTTGCCAGACAGAGTTGATACAAGCTTTGTAAATATATATATATATATATTGTTATAACTCTGCCATTCGCACCGCCATCTAAGCTAGAAGGTGCGCACTGTGATAAACTAGACTGGAAAGGATGTCAACATTAGAAGAGGAGAACGATTTCCGCCCAAGTTGAGAGCCAATATGGAGAGATTGTGCCTAAGATAGATGTTGTTTTGTGTACCTGTGATGTCGTGTGAATAGACGTCTATGTCTCGTTGAGTTGCCTCACTTAAGTTATTACAATATATATAGACTATTAAGTATTAACAGCAACAATAACAAAAATGTTTTATTTGTGTGGAGTGTTTTGTTCTCCACAGTGCACAGTATGTTGAAACAAAAACAAAAAAAGAAACAGGCAAAAATGATCTCTCTTTAATATTTTGCTTCCAATTATGCCTCACATAGACTAGAAAAGTGAAAATGTATACTGCACAGTGTACACAATATAAAAATAAAGACACTCAAATGCAGCATTGTCATTATGGAGGAATTAATTTATGAATAAAGGGAGTGAAAGTTGGGTCAATCTCATTGTGAAGACAAAACTATTCATTAAATTATGCTTAAAAATAGATTACACTTACAGTCTATATGATGTACATATATATATATACATATATATATATATATATACACATATATATATATATATATATATATATACAAAAGTTACCAATAACTCCTTCCCCTTTGAATTAGTCCTCATTACACATCATATAAGCCTACTTGCAGGATTAGTGATTAGTAACCATCTTAATTCAAAAGTCAAAGACTTATCAAGTCAAGTGTAAAAAAAAATAGGCCCTAATATGACAGAAAAAATGTCTTTATTAAATCTGAAAATAGAAGTGACTTTCTAATAGTTAAAAATATTTAGTGCTTTAATTCACACATATGAAATAATATAATGTGTACATATGTCTGATTTCTTGAGCTACACACAATTGGTGATTGAAAAACAATTCAACAGTTTTACAAGTAAAAAAAACAACAATTTAAAAAGGCAGGACTTGGGCTGCAAAGCATTTAGTTATTGTAATTTTATTACTGATTGTGAATCAAATTGAAATCATGACAATATAACCCTGTAAAAGTTCAAAAAATTGTTTTAGTATTTAATTTTTTATTAACAGAAATAAAAATTTCTTTCTCTCATCTAAATTAAAATAACATTATATATATATATATATATATAATCTTTATTGTCCGTAAGGAGGCATTAATTTATGAATAAAGGGAGTGAAAGTTGGGTCAATGTAATTGTGGAGACACAAAACTATTCATTATTATATATATATATGTTTATATGTATATATATATTAAATATATCTTTTAGATTTTGTGATCTATGTGACAGAAACATGACTTTAAATGCAAACATTATTAAAAATAGAAAGCTATGGCTTACTTAAATATATATATTAGACTTAAACTTACTTATATATATATATATTTATCTATAGCATTTAAGTAAACCACTGCTTTCTTTTCTTAATAATGGCTGCATTTAAGTCACCTGTTTCTGTCACACAGATCACAAGTTCTGAAAGAGGTACTTTTTTTTCTTACATTTAAAGAACATATACACAACATATATTTTTAAAAAAGACGTCTGTATTACATCATAATTAATTAAATAAATTAATATGACTAAAAAATACAACAATATGGCATAAAATGTGATATTTATTATTATAGCATACAAATATAATTATTTTACAGCATTAAAAGTAATAAACATAAAAATATATAAATTATATTTTAATACCCGTTTACTGATGAATTACATAATAGGAAATTATTACAAAATTTATCTTGGTCTTGGTTAATTCAATAATGACTTTTAATCTTAAAAGAAATTTATCAATACCAAATTTTTTTTTACAGCAATAAATAAACATACTTTGTTTAAAAAGTCTTTTTCCAAATCACAATAAATGTTATCGTATGTAAAAAGAAATTGTTATGTATTATGCCTTACTATAAAAATAAAATCTGTGTATTTATAATACTGATTAAAAAAAAACTTTTTGAGTTTTTAATGTTTTGGAAATTAAGTGAATAGTTTTCCTACCAATGTTCTCAGTTTGAAGCAAAAAAAATCACACTTTTTCTCACGCAACTACATGCAAACATTTATATAAAAGCCACATTTATCTGAATTTTCTACCTTTTTACTTCCACTCAATTATTCATAAGTTATTGACTTTTCTGCACATAACTGTACATCAGGAAACAAATGGCTGCTTTAAATAAAGGTACAAGAAAGTTCCAGCAGTTGTAACACAAACTTCATTCCAAATGAACCAATTTTCACTGCACTTACATCAAACCTAACAATTTTTATAAAGATATTACGATGAGAATGTGTGAACAAATAGGACAACTAAAATTTTCAATGAAAGTATGATAGCATTAGGTAATTGAATTCCTTTTGTTGAAAACCAAACAAGTCGCTAAGTTACAATGGTACGCTAAGTTACAATGGTACGGTGATCTGACTTTTAAGTAGAATATTTTAAATTCATTGTTCACCACAGTATAAAGCTTTTCTTTTGATGCTTTGTATCCTTGGAGCTTTTTTCCCTGGCCTGCAATGAAAAGTTCATGAAGAACTTTTTAATTATTACAAATTTAAGCCATTTTTAAAGGTTTTGTGTATACTATAAGAAAAAAATATTTACAAAAGAAAATATTTCTTTCTATGATTAAATTGTTCTCTTATTTTTAAGATGCTGAATTTTTTTGTTGAGTATCTTTCACAAGTAGGTAATAATTTGCAGAAAATGTTATTATTGTAAAACATTTACAGTTGTTTTTTTTACACTGAGTGACATGAAAACATTTTTTTTTAAAGAATAAAATGTCAAAATGCTTTATATTATTTTAAATTTCTGTCTAGGAGTAAAATTAACTAAATTTGATTTTTATTTTTTCCACTTTGAACTACTGCAACTTGAAATAATTTAACTTAATAGGTCATGCATATTAGGACTTCAACATAAATTAACCTAATATATATATAAAAAGTATATTTCATATAACAATACACAAAAGGATACTGCATAATTAACAGAGATGACAAAAAGATACTACATAAATAATTCTTTTTTTTAACTTACAAACCATGGTAAGAGTCTACTCCAAAATTTGTTGATAAATGTCAGCTTAATTAGCATTGAGCTTTCCAATCACCTACCTCCATAATTATATTTTCATCATGTTTTTGAAAGTCTGTGAAGGTTTTCAAGCTTAATATTAACAACGACACACACAGCTTCAGCTATTCTACAGATTGGAAATGTCGGTTTGTTGGAAATCTACTTGGTACTTGTTTTTTTTTTTTTTTTATAGGCCTTTTTACATATTTGCAAAGAAAAAAAAAATATTCATAGCACCTGCAATATAATTAAAATTCTCATTATTTCAATTTGGTTCACAATCAATTAAATTGTATGACAAGCTATTGAAATTTACTTTGACTTTTTTTGTCCTCCTTTGTAAGGCTTTGTCCTTATATTACTTTGTATACAATCAAAACATTTTAAAGTACTATCATAAATTTATTTCTTTTAAACTTCACATTAAAATAATTTTACTGATTATAAGACTTAACCCTGATAATAATATTGTTTCAGAAATAAGGTTACCAGACACTAATAAGCCTAAAGGAGGACAGAAATATGGGCAAAGCCTTACAAAGTAGGACACAAATTTCAATAGCTAGTCATACAATTTCATTGATTGTGAACCAAATTGAAATCACGAGAATATCCCTGTAACCCTATTCAGAATGAGAGAACTTGGTGTTAATTCAATACAAATATATTAAAATATATTGCAAGAAATTACAGGGGTATTCCAGACAGATATTTTTTATAAGTGATTTTTAATAACTGAAATGTTTAGAACTGCTACTTTAAATAATATTATTAATCTTTTAAAAAAACAACACTGCTTCTTAAACTTTAGATCAACTCAACTATACAATAAACTTTTTTCAGTCAAAGCTTAAGTAAGACCACCATAAAATATATACATTTTATAATCTTTAATTCACATTACTAAAGACTACTTTAAATTAATATTGAACCGATATTTTGGTTCTAGAATTTATCTGGCTGGACATTACTTTATATAAAGATATAACATATGTGTGTTTTAAATGAGTGGAGCCCGCAGACCTTCTTTTGAGCTGCCAGATGTAATAAAACAAGATGAAAAAAAATACTGACAAAAAGAAAATAGAATTTAAAAAACTATGTAATTTTTTGTATCAAAGAAAAAAAATAAACAAAAATTATTTTTTTTTATTCTGATGTTTATTATAAAATTAAATTTGTTCTTAAAAATATTGAATATTTGCAGTAGAAATGTAAATAAGGACTTTGAAGATAAAGTGTTTTAAAGCTCACATATTTAAAACATTATCAAAAACTCAAGGAACTATTAAATAAAAATAAATCAACAACTACCAAATTAATATATACCTCCAAATAAAATCAAAACAACTACAGCAAAAAATGAAAAAAGCACTATTGAAAGAGAATAAAAGAAGTATTCACATTTTACAACGATAATTGCAAGCTTTTGAACCTGTATGTGTAATTATTGCTTGATACATGAAAATTAACATTCAATTCAGCTACAAAAAAAAATTAATTGGAAGAGACAGTACATGAAAGTCAACAAATTTTAACATGGAACATGAATGGATGTAGGCTAAATAAAGAAACCCTAGGATATCAATGCACAAGCATGCTTAATAGCAAGAAATATTTGACTCACCGACATAAAATGGTGTTTCTGAATCGAAAAAATAAATTTACATGCAAAAATGTCAATAATAAACTAAAACAAGTAGCACAAAACTGGAAATCTATCATGCTCTATTCATATTTCAACTACAATATATATTTACCTACATATTTAAAAAAACAACATCATGCTTTAATCAGAAAATCTCTACCCAAAAGTATTGGCTGATGACAATCATATAAAAAGCTTTCTTCCACCAAAAAACAAATGAAAAAAAAAAAAAAAACAACCCAGTACATTATACAGTACAAAGGATGGTTGCTTGGCTATGAGGTATGCCCTTTGGACTGTCATCACAAGGGTATGGAGTTAAAACTATTCTTCCTGCCATTCCCAGTAACCATGCAGAAAGTTTAGGCGATGAAGTTATACACAAACATTTTTTTCTGAAGGAACATTTAAAACTTCTATAATAAGAACTTAAGTTTACAAACTGTGTATCACACACTATACATTTAACAAAGCTTTAGCATAAGAAATATAAATATTAGATAATTAAGATGTATGTGAATTTACAGCATCTACCATGGCAGTTACAACCATTACTAAAACTACTAGATGCAATAGAAAACCTAACAGCTACAACACTTGAACAAAAGCAACAAGTCTCCTTACTTCATCAATGTTGTAGCTTCTGTGAAAGTAATTTATACACATAAAGAAGATAAAGGTAATTATACTAAAAAAAAAATGAATTTAAAAAAAATGGGCAATGATCAGTACCAAATACTCATTAATGAAACTTTAGAATTCAGACTAGAAATGACACATGGAGTCAAAATCAAAAGTGTAAATAATTATATACATTTAGAGAAAGAAAACAAAGAACAACAACCTTGGCTGTGACCATACATAAACTAAAATAAGTTTCCACTCAACAAACTTTACTAGTATTTTTCTGTGAGTAAATGAAAAATACTAAGCAGTCTAAACATTTATTCATATTCTTTAGCTTGGCACAAATATCTAAATGGTAACTTGGGCTCAGGGCATCGTCACTTATGTGACTTGGAAGAGGAAGGCTGAAAAATAAATTTTGAAATAAGGACATCAAACAAATAGTCCTTAATAACCTGCAAAGTTCTTATGTCTATGAAGCAGGACATTTTGGTGCAGTAATTTTGGCACTGTGGTCATTTTGGCATGGGACATTTTAGCCCAAAATGTTCCAGCTACATTATATGTTATCATTTTATTATGTATTTAAAAAGAATGATACATAGCAGTGTTATGTATGTGTGTTTGTGTCATACCATATCTTTTATAGGAGGCATGGTGGCTGAGCGGTAATGCGCTTGGCTTCCGAACCACGGTACAAATCCTGCTCTAATGGGTACCTGACATTGGTTAGGGAAAAGTAAAGGCGGTTAATCATTGTGCCTTGTTAACCCTAGGCCACAGAAACAGTTGACCTTTACCTTATCTGCCTTAGAGACCACAAGGTCTGAAAGGAAACTTTACTTTACATCTTTTATGAAAAGAATAATAGTTATTTTGTCTAGTAGATTTAAGTTTGTTGTGTAATTTTTGTTATTTATGTTACTAACATTATAATGTGTGAGTGGGTTTTAATATTATTCCAAAACAAATATTATAATGATGATATGATTTTAGGTGCACAAGAAAATAGTTTATTTAATTTATATCTCCAACTAAAATAAGAAAATAAAATTTCATTGTGTGCATTTTGCACACATTGCCTATAATTTAATTGGGTGAGAGCTTGTCAATATCATTATCTCAGGTTGAAATTTTAATTTTCATAGTTTGTATGTTTTACATTTCAGATGTTCATTCAAAATTGATGATTATTGATGGCGGTGGGTTCCAAGCACATACCACACAACCAGGTAGCCATCTATAGTTCATAATATGCATTCATAAAATAACAAAATTACTTTTAAAATATTTTTGGCATTGGGAGGGGGAAAAATTCATACTATATTAAAGCAAAGTGAAAAACATTATTATTATTAAAAATTTTGTGTCTTAAAATTATTTTACGAACTTTTAATGCCGAAATGGCTCGTGCCAAAATAGCTGAAGCAAAATGTCACATACCAATATGTTTATTAACAATTAATATTTACAACTTTGTTTTAGATGTTTTACTTTTAGTAGAAGAAATTTTTGGGGGGTGGGGATTTTTTTTTGCTTCATTTAAAAAACAAGGATTTTCAAAAATTCTAATTTTTATCTATTTTAAAAAGCAAGTTTAAAAGACCTTCTTAAAATTAAGAAACTTTAAGGAATTTTTAACCAAAAGTGATTTTCCCAATTTTGTACAAAGATAATTTGCATATTTCATGAAAAAGTACACATTAATGAAAAGAACTTATCAGATACATCCCCACTGTAATAATATTAACAAAAAAATAGTTCTAAAGAGTTATTATGTAAATATTTTAAACAAATTTGATTTTCGATGACTTAAAAAATATAGTAATGGCAAGTTTTTAAAGTAAAACTTGATATCACGTAATTGGAAACCCACAATCATTTAATTATTTCTTTAATAGCTTAAAGAATAATTGTAAAAGAAGATTGTGTAGCTTACAGAATATAATTTAAATGTCTATTTGATAACATGTTATTACTATAATATTAAAGTGGGTATGTTAGATAAAATATAGACTGTACAAAAATGTATTTAAAATCAATTAATAAATATATATGTATAAAATTTAATATATACATAAAAATAAATAAATCTTGTTTCTATTTAAATCATAACAATAACAATATTGAAATACGTATCTTGAAATGAATTTAAAAACAGGACATTATTACCATTTCAAGGATTAGAGAAAAAAAAAAAATTTTTTTAAATAAAAAAAAACAATGTTATGCATATAAAACCTTGTTAAAAAAATGTAAACAAAAAAGTGAGAAAAGTTAGAAACAAAATTTAAAAGAACAACTCTGAAAACAGCCTGAGAAATATATTTACATTAGATAAACCACACAGTATAGATCTACAATTTCTTAAAAAAATGTCCAATCTCTTAAAACTATTTTGAAAGCATTACGTTTTGCTAGATCTTGGATAATAACAATGTAAAAATCAACCAACAAAATAACCCATAGCTGACATGATTTTTTTCCCCTTATTTAAGAATGAATGAATTGAGCAGTTAATCATAGTGAATGTGAGTAATCTGACTGCATAGAATTTTCCTTTTTTTTTTCCAGACAAAATATTCATATGATAGAATGTTGAAGAAATGTTGTCACCATTGGAAGATTTTTTTTTGGAATAATAATCTTGGTAACATGATTAGCCAATTGTGGGAAGCGTAGTCGAGAGGCTAAGTGCGCTTGAACTTGGCTTGGCTACCTAGAAGGGGGCTCGAGGTTCGACACCCGACTCGGGCAGAGTTGTGTTTACTCAGCGCCTAAAGGCAGCACGGAAACCAACTACTAGGTACCCCCTCCACCCCACTGGTCCACAAATGAGATTGGACCAAAGTGCTCTGAGCATGCTAAAAGCATGAAAGTAGCGCTATATAAAAGCTATAAATAATAATAATTGTTTCTTACAAAATTAAACAAATAGCACTTTTGCAATAAGGTCTTATTAAATATTGTATGAAAATGTGCAGCCTGTAAATAGTTTTAATATTATTTATGTATTAACATAGCTTTTACCTTATTCCAAAGTGTACAAAAGTTATTGCACTGTGTGTGTATAAATATTTATACGCACACATTTAGAATCTATTTTGATAAAATATATTTAAATTATATTAAATTTGTTGTTTTTTTTAATAACCTTTTGATAGTAAATTGTTAAGACTTGATAATTAATACTTAGAAATATGTTTGAAAAAAACATGTAATATTCAATTTTCATATTTGTGTCTAAAGGTAGTAAAATAATAAATAAGGCTATGAAAGAAAGTAAACTTCTTCTCATAAGCTAATTTGAAAGTATATCAAAATTTTAACAAAATATGAATAAATAAATAAATTTATGAATTTAAACAAGTATATAAACAGTCACTTAAAAAAAAAAAAAGGCATTCTCTAAATGAAAACAATTACAATAATACTATATGATTAATTCTGTTTTGTTCTCATGATTTTTGCTGCTATCCCTGACCAAGCCAAAGTAAATAATGGCAACAAGGCATGAACACTTTTCACACAACCACATACACACAAAGGGAGAGAACACCACACCATGCACAACAACATGCAGTAAAATCCAATTCCAATCAATGGCTTAAAGGTCATACCCATATTGGGGATGGGTACGTTCCACTGCAGAGCTCATCATCTAGAGGGTGACGGCCTGTACCATCCTGCATCGACTGTGGAATGTGAAAGAAGTATTAGATTCTATGGATTAAAGAAAATGAAATTAGTCAATTTTAACATTTTATTAAGATTATGTGATCTAACAAGTTGAAAGGAACATGTTTCTACTTACTTATTGATATAATGGTTTCATAATAGTATAAACAAACTAGTACACATATATAGTCTAGATATAAGGATATTTCTAAAATAATAATTGAAAATGTTCCAAGATACTTGTCTAGTATTTAATATGGAGAAAATAACTTCATTCTAAACTTAGGGTTGTGTGGCTCTGTAATATTTTTACTTTTACAAACCAACTAAATTTCAGTTTCTCATCAGAGCTGAACATAATGAAACTTGCAAGCTTAAATAAAGCAGATTAAATCCTAAAGTATTCAATATTCCTTCAATATGATTTTGTTTGTTATCTTATTAAAAAATAAATAAATGTTATCACAAGACAACACTGTTGATGTTTTGATATTTTCAGGATGCAATATTTGAAGTTTTGAACTACAAACTATCAATAACAATAGTCATCCTCCATATAAACTGTACATTTAAAGTATGATTGCCTACAATCACTCACACCTAATGAATGTGGTCTTTGCTTGTAGATTGTCTGAAAATGACCAGCATGAACTTTGCATAATTTTCTAAACTGATGACTACATCAAAATACTTGTAATCTTTTTCTACCTTCATTGCAGCATTTTTGTGGAAAGGTCCACAATAGGAAATGGAAAGATGAATAAGAAAAAAAAAAAGAAACGTAACTGTCCATAAGCTAACCCTTGTCCCATCCGCCTCACCAATGCTCATGGGTGTCGCATGCTGTATTGGTGATATCTCAATAAGTAGAGGTCAATTGTTGGAATATAAATAACTCCAAGGTGACATGTGATTAAATGATCATTTAATTGATTGGGGGGGGGGGGGGG